TGGGGGGGGTGGGGGTGTCCCCCTTCCTTGCTGCCACCCTCCCCGGCCCGGTGCTCCACTCCCCAGGGGGAGGCGGGTTCAGGCTGGGGCTGTATTTTGAAATTTCCAGATCATCTTTTCCAAGATATTTCCTTGAAATGCATCCAGAGAGCTTACTGGTCACGTAAATAAAGAATGATGGCAATACTCGGCATCTGTCGTTAGGATGGACCGGAGAGGGATTAAAAGCTGTCCTTTTTATTGTAATTTTATTTTTTTTCTTTCCGCCTCTGATCCTGCGAAGAGCGTATCTGTCTCCTCACCTTGCCGGGGAGCTGGGGGAAGCTGGGAACCTAACCCATTTGTCATTAGGACCGTCCTGCCTGCCAGCTTCTGTAGGATAAACCATATGTTGTCACAACACTATTTTTAATTTAGGGTGTTGGTTACATCACATCACTGAATTGGGCAATCTCTGTGTGAGGACGAAGGTAATTACTGTACCAGGGTTTATCAACTTATATTTTAATGAGTGTTTATCAGCATTATGAGAAGTCAGTAGTAATAAGTGCCTTGGATAGAGTGAGTTATTAGCTTTTTCTCTGAAAAAGAAAGAAAAAATCCAAAGAAATGCTTTCCTATATATTAGGAAAGCCTTTTCTTTTGGGGGAGGGAGAGTAGGAAGACTACAGGCAGCTGTGTTAAATATTTTGGGAAGCTATTCTGAGTCCGTGTCACACATGAATAGTGGTGTTTATTTTCTAAATGAAGTCTGGTCTCTAGATTGTTTGGTGGCCAACGGCCACTAATGAACTTTGCTTCCTTCACCGCCACCCAAAAGAGAAATAGTCAAAGGCTACTGGTGATTAAATGGGCAGGAAAGGATAAGGGCAGAAGAGCTCACTTGTTTGTATAGTGAATAACGCAACAATTAGTGGGCTATTAAACACACATGCTCATTCTGCATTTGTTCTATAAACAGTTTCACCAGCTTGTTGAACGTCTCTGCTTCCTCTGAAACGCTTGGCTATGGCGATGCCAAGAAGCAACTTTATAACACACCTTCGGAGCGTGTGTTTGTCCAGTCTAGGCTCTGATTTAATTTTGGTCTGCAGTAGGTAAATGGAAAAAATTTGCTAAGGCTTCTTCTGCTCGGTTTGGTTTTAAATGTGGTATAACTGACGGCAGCGTTGTGTAATATGTATAATGACCTGGAATCCAATACTGTTGTTTGTGTTACCTGAAGTCCAACATGTGTGCAGTCTGACCTGTTTTATGCACCAGGACAGCACATCGGTGCGATTTCTGCGACAAGTCTCTGTCTCTTCGCCAGAACGGGCACAGTAATGTCTTCAGTTGCTTGCTTGAGTTTGTTCTTGGTCTAATAATAATGTATTGGGATTACATAATCCAAAAATGATCACCCAGCTGGGCGAGCTGCCATTTGTTTTAGTGTCCCTTGTGCCAGAGCAGTTGCATTCTTGGTGTGGAGCTGTACCATGTGTGGCTCAGGCAGCAGGACTATGGAGAAACGATATTTGTCGTCTTGAGTCTCTCCCGCTTGGGTCTCTGCTAAATTGTCTGTGTCCTGGTGAAGAAAATGGCTGCGCTTCCGTACATTGATGCCCAACTCCGTGTTTCAGCAAGCTGTTGCTGTATCATGTACAGAGAACGTGGAGCTGCTGCTGAAGAGGTCCGGATCACAGGGCTGCCAGCTCCTTGCAGGCCATAAAAGGATTTCTTTCTCCAGTAGCGGGGGGGTACGCTCACCTGAAAGAAATACAAGTCTTAAAAATAACACTGGCTTCATAGGGGACACTTTAAGATGTCGCCTGTCTGTTCCTTGTGAAACTTGCTGCCCCTGAAACTGCTTCCACACAGTTGTGAAACCACGAGTGCTGACTGCTGAGCCCCGCAGCTGAAGGCTGAGCGGTGGAAAATGTGTCCCAAGTCAACTTATCCACTGATGAAATGGAGCCGGTCTGGTGCGTTAGCCTAAAACAACTCTTGGTTCTCCAAGGAGTCTGATTCTATATTAGCTTGCAGTTTTCTCGTTCCCTTTGGGGGGGTGTGTAGGCTCTGTTTAGGCCCTCCCACCCCCCCCAAAAAAAGCAGGGCATGACTTTTCCCCATCTCTTCCGCTCTGCCTCCAGCTCTCTTGCTGCCCATGTCGAGGTACAAGGGAACTCCTCATGCCCCTGCCTCATTTTCCTCTTTCATTCTTTATCCCGGACCCTGTCTTTCGCACTTGATGACGGGATGTTGTATCTGTCCTCGCCTAATACACCTAGATATGTCTCTGTCCATGGCGACCATCCTTTGGTTTTCACACTCATTTCTTTAGCAACATTGTGGGGGTTTCTGGGTAAGTAGAAATCTTAATGCACAATTTAAAATGCTACATGTGGCAGACCCAAATGTCACTTGGCAGTAGGCACGTCTCCTCACGCTTTTGTGGTGGAGGTGCCGATGGCAAGTAAACAGAGTTAGGGCTGTTCCTGGAACCCTTACCTGGGAATTTCCCGACTTTCATGTATTTATTTAAAAACTCTCTTTGTGGCTTGAGGAGCGGTTCTAGTGAGCTTGAATGATGGATCGTCTTTTGATAAGAAACGACGTGACTGCAGTTGCACACCTTTCCCTATTATTTGTAGCTTTTGTGTTGACCTCGCCCAGCCTCCACCAGCTATGGTTCAACTCAACTGCCAGCCCTAGTCCTGGCTTGCATGGTAGCCTCGTGATTTTAGGAGGATGTAAAGAGGATCGGAGCATCCCTGCTTTGGTCAGCACGCGATGCAGCAGCTGAACAGTGCCTCCTGCTCACGTTGTACCTCTCTGCACCTGATACACGGAGTATTTTGAACTGAAGCCACCGGTTGATTCACTGGTGAACTTTGGCAGATGCACAAATATTTATTGGGGGCTAAGCTGAGATAACCAAAGCACATTGCCCCTGTGCTCTATGAGCCGAACTGAATTTTGGAACCGTGGTCTGATAGACGTGGCTTCCCAAGTCATCTTCCCTGTGCCTTCGGTGCTCTTCTTAAACTGACTGTGGCAGAAGTTATTTCTCAAAGGTTAGGTTAAGCCGACCCCTTGCAGTCACCGCTTATTGAAAGAACTTTTTTGGACTTTGATTTTAGAGCGGGTTGTTACAGATGCCTTCATCTTGCTGTGTTTAAAGTATGAAATACAAAATGAAGGCTCCTGCTGTCATTACAGGGTCTTTAGGGTAATGCGTATTCATGCTGACTTGGGAATTGAAAGCTGCTTGCAGGTGTCAGGAGGAGAAGAACAATCCGGCTTTCGAATCAAAATTCATTCAA